ACATAAGATCGGCTTTCATCATCTAATCTATCTGTTAAATCTTCAACAACTTGCATCAGTTGCGTTTCAACCCTAACTTCTGGAAATGCCTCCGATACTGCGAGTGAAGAAGATTGTTTCGTTTCAAGTGCATGAACAACTGATCTAGCCTTGATTTTACACACTGTAGCCCTTGATTTTACCACTGCCACACACTGCCATCCAATCGCATCTATCTCGTTTAAACGATGGATATGGGACATAGTACACTTGTGCAGCTTGCATTGCCAAAACAAAAGGTTCATACGTTGTATATCTTCTTCTTTGATTAATATCAACCAGATTATACTTAGGATGAACCTTCGTGCCAATGTTTGGCGTAGGATCAAACCATTCACATTCTAAATCATCCTGAAAACATGCACCTAATGTAAAGTTCAATTTGCAACACTTATAACTAACTAAGGTTATTTCTATAATAAGGATAACTATATATAAATGTAAAATCACGTAGTTTTGATCCCTTTAATGGCACACACCGCTGTTCATTGTCTTCTGCTTCTCTCCATAACACCTCAGTGTGAAGACCCTTGTAACCGTTTACAAAAGTAGCCAAAGTAGGGCATTAGCAACCGGTATGGGCCCCTTTGCCAGATCCGTAATAAATCTTGTTAGAATATCGCTTCCCGAGCTTCGAGCACTATGGGAAATAGTAATGACCAATGAGTCAACGAGTGAGATCTAATAATGTACATTCCATGTTGTGTACATTGAAAGTAACTTACATAATATTTGAACCATTCTGCAAATTCGGAGTCCAGTTTCGCATTAACTGCAGTATCAGTCAAATTGGAATTTTGAAGCCGCAAAAGCTTGATATATTCCCTATTTATGAATGAAGAAAATTACCATAAATATGATTTAACTACGTCCCAGACCAGGTTAGACTGACTCACTAATATGTATACTTACTGTACAGATGGTGTAATCTCTTCGCAATTCAACAAAATATAAGTTTGAGCCACTTGTATCTCTGCATCAGTCAATCGTCTTTTTTTTTTTTATTTACTAATCGTACGCCCAGGATAGGTGAAAATTGTTAGATTTCCTTTAAACTCAGATTCTATTCTATCTCCTCCATCATCGTTACGTGGCACTCTCTGATGCTTGGTGAAAACATGTGGTTCGAAGTAGTGTGAATAGAAGGTGGAAGCTTCTTCCACCAAATGTTGTTGAGAAGAGAT